CTTCCCCTGGGCTGATTTCTTGGGCTCGGTGATTTCAGATGTGGAGCACAGACCGGCTTTGAACAGGAGCGGTTTGTTTTTTGTCTGGAGGCAAATCTGGGCAAGACGATCCATGAGCCTTCCTGTGGGGAAATGTTAGTTTTTGAGTGAGGTTCTGTATATTTGTGGTAACTCTTGACGTTTTGGCAAATGAATTAGAAGTGGAGTTCACCTTTGGTCACTGTGCTCTCATGGTCTGCAGTGACAGGAGCTGACTGCTGGCTCCTGCACCAAAGATGAACTGCCAGCGACAGACACAAATACAAGCTCCTGCTCCCCCAAAAATCCATCAGGGAATTTAATGACAGGCGGATAGACTAATTTCTACTAAATTCACTGATTTTTACTGAATTCATCTTAAAACAAACGGAGATTCTGTCATTGCTGTGGCTCAGTCCCGACAGATGCTGGAGAAAATCTCTGGCTGTGGAAGTGGTAGCTCAGCAGAGGAGACAGGCAGGCTAATTAAAGTGTAACGAGAGAAAGTTGTGGGCTACACCGATATAGCCGAGGCACTAAAGAAAGCCCAGATGTTTGCAGTGCCATTTGTCACTTATCTTAAACGAACCAGTCAGGAACGGTGAGGTTCTTGCCTCTTACAAAACTTTGAAATCAAAACAGCATGCTGGCTTGTTTGTTTTGGTTTTCTTTGGTTTGTTTTTTTTTTAATTTTACTCATATCATATGCTAGGGTCAAAAGGAGGAGCAGCACAAATTCTCTGTTATGTCCCTCATTAGTCTGTAGTTTTCCTTTAACATTTTAAGCTGAAATGTTTCCCAGCAYTTCTTTTCATTTAACATGGCAGATGTCACCAGTTGGTTCCATCGCAAGCTTGGCCTAGAAGGAACTAAAACTTCCATCTCTATGGCCTTGCCTTGGCAAGTCAGGCCAAAATAAACCTTGTGGGCAAGGGATGGAGATGGCAGGGTGGGGAATATCTTTTGGGTTGGGATTTGTTTCTTAAACGTTGGTTTTATTTTAATTTCCTTGCTTATTTCAAGGTCTTGCCAAACAGTGAGTATTTCTGAGTTGTTACATTGTGTATATTTTCCTGTGTTCTCCTGTTTTTATCTGCTCCTGTTTTTCAACCAACAGCCCGAATCACCAAGATTTTCATCAGCCATCTCCACGGTGACCACATGTTTGGGCTCCCGGGGCTGCTGTGCACGCTGAGCCTGCAGAACAGCGCTGAGAGCAGCAAAGCGCCYGTGGATATCTACGGGCCGCTGGGGCTGCGCAGCTTCCTCAGCAGGAGCCTGCAGCTCTCGCACTCGCAGCTGCTCTTCCCCTGCGCGGTGCACGAGCTGGTGCCCACGCCGGACCAGTGCCCTGCACAGGAGTTCAGGGATTTCTCGGGCCTGGATGAGGACAGGCTGCCTGATCCAGAGCTCCCCGGGGGTGTGCTGCAGCCGGAGCCAGGGGAAGGCTCCTACCTGCTGCTGGAGGATGAGCAGCTGGAGCTCAGGGCCTTCCGCCTGTTCCACCGCGTGCCCTCCTTTGGCTTCGTGCTGCAAGAGAAGCCCCGGCCCGGGAGACTCAATGTGCACAAACTGAAAGACCTTGGTAACTACTCTCACTCATTTCTCCTCTTTTTGCTTCTTTTATGACCACCTTCCTATGTGTTCTAGCACATCAGAGCTGCTGTCTCGCTCCATAATCTTGAGTTTTAATTCAATTTTCCGTTTTCTGCCCAAGACATTGTGACACCTGACACACGTGCAGCAGTCTGAATTGGTGTCTAACACCGATACCACACAACATTTTCATACTGGAAGAGCCAACAAGTTCAGGTGCTGAAGTTTAAAAAGCTCAGCATGGCTTYCAGGAAAACACATGGCCAGTGTATGATTTTATTGACTTTAGCAGGAGTAATGTCACTGGATTTTTTGGTGAAGTTTCCCAGAGCAGCTGTGGCTGCCCCTGGATCCCTGGCAGTGYCCAAGGCCAGGCTGGACATTGGGGCTGGGARCAGCCTGGGACAGTGGAAGSTGTCYCTGMCCATGGATGATCTCTGAGGTCCCTTCCGACCCAAAGGGTCGGATCAAATTATCCTACATTCTGTGATTTTCTTCAAACACTTGCATTGTTACAAGCTCTTAATTTGTTAAAAGCTCCAATATGAAATACCAACTGATTTTTGTGTTGAGGTTGTGGTTTTTTGGTGCTTTATGCACAGCACCTCTCAAGTGCTCTTTTCTARAAGMTGACAYTTGTRTAATAATARAATYAGYGTAATACTTACRGCCCTTCTGCCTTCACCTGCCAGGWGTGCCGCCRGGCCCTTTGTACGGGAAGCTGAAGAGYGGAACGGCGATTGTGCTGCCGAACGGGGTGACAGTTTCCCCGTGTGACGTGCTGGAGGCCCCCATCGCTGGCAGGAAGGTCTGCGTTCTGGGCGACTGCTCGGGGGCYGTGGGGGCCGCGGCGGCGCGGCTCTGCTGCGGGGCGGACGTGCTGGTGCACGAGGCCACGCTGGACGATGGCCAGCAGGACAAGGCCAGGGAGCACGGCCACAGCACGCCCAGCATGGCTGCAGCCTTCGCCAAGCTGTGCCAGGCCAAGAGGCTGGTGCTGACCCACTTCAGCCAGCGCTACAAACCTGCCGCCCAGAGTGGGAACGGGGACCGGGACAACAACATCACCGAGCTCAAGAGGCAGGCCGAGTCCGTGCTGGGCCAGGAGGTGACCCTGGCTGAGGACTTCATGACCATCGAGATCCCCATGAAAAAGTGAGACTGAGTCCGTGCTG